GGATCCTATGAAGACCCGACAATCAGCCACCAATCTGCTCCGGACTTCATATGGACCGCTTTTGGAATCACAGAATAGATCGATTAATGCTCCAGTTTCGTATTTCTGCATGTGAAGCGTGTTCTCCGCCCATCGCTGCTTGCTTCTCGCTACTCTAATATCCGACAATATTCGTTTACTTTGACATACGACTCGAGGGAACTCTGATGATGTTGATCCTCTTCTCGAGCCACGTGATATGTCGTGATTTCCATTGCTATATCCTTTTTTCCTCAGCCGCGATCGCTCAGTGATTCATTCGTGTTCCCTCTTCCCATCGTTTCAGTTGGCGCTTCGACTGTTCCATCAGAAAACCATTCTTCTTGCGGCCTCTGCCTAATGGAAGTGATGTGGAGCACATTTCATGAGTACAAGCTCCACAGTTTCGTCTTCCATTTAGCACAAAACACAGCTAGAGTCTGGACTTTGGAATTCACGAAGGCGCGGCATTCGCGGGTCGGTAAGATGCTTTGTCAGCGCTAAGAGTTCGCTGCCCCTCCGATTATCGTATATGCCAAACTTCGTCATGCCTCCTTCTTCTTCCCACCCAGAGCATGATTCCAAGCTCGGTTCGCGGCTCATGCCTTCCCTTCAGATTTGTTCTTACATTTCCTGGACCTGTCATCCTCTTCCTTCGTAGAATCTACTTAGGAGCGGAAGTCCCTCTTGGTTGTACGCTAGTGGGATCGCCCCGCGCTGGTGTTTAGCCCGCAATGGTTCGAGTCGCTTGACCGCTCGAGTGTACGTTCTGGTCATGGCCATCATTGACAGAATTACCCTCGGCCTTCTTTTCGGACTCATTCCGCTCATTCTGGTGAAATACCTGATGTTTATCTGAGACTCTCTTACTTCGAACGCAGACCATCCTCACGCGCCCACGATGAATCCCTTCGCGTCCTTGTATTCTACGATACGCAAGGCCCAGCGACCCAGGGTCATCTGGGCTCCCTCTAGCTGGGCCGTGAATTCCCTCGTTCCACTCGACGCCGGGACGGCGTTCGCGTTTGTCAAGGCCGGCACTGCAGACGCCTTCATTTGAATATTGGGAACCTCGAATTCGTCGAAGGCCCACAGGCATTGTGCATGCATGCATGCGCCGCATGATTTCTTCTGCTCTTCTCTTCACATCCGCCTCATGGTTTCGCAGGTAGTTTCCTCCTGAGCTAAGGGTGATACCTAGGTACTTATGTTGGTCCGACACTTCCAGTTCCATCTGCGGTATCTTGAGGGTGGCCTGTTGACCAAAGTTTTCCGCATTGAATATCACAATCGCGCTCTTAAAGGGAGGGAAATGCATGTGCATTTCCTATCCGAAATCAGATGTTTTCCCTAGTTGTACTCCCATTTCTTCATATAAGCTGGCCATGAGTACTAGGTCTTCGGCAAATCACTAGTCCACGGATCTTATAACATTTCCCCGGGGCTCTCTCCGGTGACTAACTCGAACCCAGTCTTTGACCATAAAAGTCTGGTCTCACTATCCGCTGTAGAAAATCCGAAAAATATTGGTGATAGGGAACATCCCTGTCTAAGTCACGTACGAGAGTAACTCTTCCGAGGAGAATTCGTCGACATCTATCACTATTCTATTTTCGAAGTGAATTATTTCCGAGAAATTCCTCTTTCAAACAGTATCTCCCATAGCATTTCACGTTTACTTTTCCATAACGCTTTTGTGCAGTCCAGGAAGCCACGAATCAGCCCCTGTGATTGCCTCCGCGATATCTCCATGACCGAGGATTTAAGAAATATATTCTCATCTTCCCGTCTGCCAGGCTCAAAACCGCTTTGCATCCCTCCAAGGATTTCTTTTTCCCAAATCCACCCTTTGGTACGAGTTAGCATGATTTTCATGAAGAGTCTAGAAAGAATCGATGATATCGTAATCGGTCTGTAGATATCCATGTCCCATCTGTGTGAGTTGGGTTTCTCAAACATGGGGACCCTTCCGAGTCTCCAGTCATCTGGTATGCATCCGCCTCGCCAGAATATATCATTGGAAGCTCTGCTTCTATGGGGAATTCCTGTGTCTTCGAGTTCTCTCAGGAACAATGAGGGTATTCTATCTCCTCCTGTCGCTGTTCTAACAGAGATCTGACCGATGATCTGTGCGCTATCATTTTCATCCGTTCTTATATTCGTTCTTTGGTTTGGCTGGTTCCGTTTCTCTGTCCCACTATCATCTACGGGTTCAGCATCCAGCGTACGTATGGCAACTTTTTCAAATGTTCAGACATTCTTTATGGAGCATGTCTATCGCCCTGATGGTCGATTATTTTGTGCCGCCTTCCGGTATTCCTCTTCATCTTTGACGTGATTTCAGAATCCCTCCGATCTCTCATTTCTCGGCGCGTCCAGGACTTGTATTGATCGCTCTCGTTGCGTTCTAGTGCGTGTTGCACTCTTTGATTCGAGGAACTGGGGAATCCGCTAAGACTGATCTGTAGACCAAACTGACGCATGTTCGTTTCATCGAGACTTCTATACTGGTTTCTATGGTGAACCGAACAAGAATGAGTCTTCCGTTCGCTGCACTGGAAATTCGTCCTGACGGGGCTCGTTGTAATGAGACCATACTGCACGCGAGTGAGGAGCAGAAAGTTGCGGAGCCTGAATAGCAATGTCCTCCGACGTCCGAGGAACATTGAGAGCGCGCCACACCTAATCGTTGAGGAAGTCTCATGGGTTGGCCTTGACTTGAGCGTCGAAGTGAAAACTTGGTCTCTCGGTTACAATCGGGGAAGCCGCACGGATAGCTTTCTGGAAAGCTAATTGGAATCGGGTAACCCGCTTGAGAGAGCAGTCACGAGAGCCTTCTCCGATCGACGTCCGCTCCTGAAACATCTCACCTCAAACACCACTACGCATTCCCCTGACTGAGAGATAAGGGGTGGACCTGACTTCTTCCGCTGGGAGGGGGGAAGGGCAGGAGCCAAAAATCTTGTCGCGGCTTCTCGCCGCCCATTCAGTATTTGGCCCAATTGCCCGAGGGCCCATCGCCACCCTGGATCCGCCAGTGTTGAGATACGTTCAAGATTACCGTAGTCCAACACGGAGCTGTCGCTACCGATGGAGTTCACATCGCCCGGGAAGAGCGTGGTACTTCCTCATTTAGCTGGCGACATGCGCCCCGCCGGATAGATGGCACGTCTTTCAGCTCACGCCAGGAAATTCGGATCAGGAACGAGATTTGCCGTGGCGATCTCGTCGAGAATGATGAGGGCTCCCTGAGCCTAGACTTCATCAAATTGTGGAGCCTCATGTTGATGTCATCCCTAACTCCGATAGGTATTTTAAACTTACATTAGATAGGCGTCTGAGTTCGAGAGCAAAAGAATGGCGCCTTGCATCTGTTTTTGATCGTCTGACTCTCTTGAGAGCCTCTTCCATCCATCGTCAGATTGACTCATCACAGGCAGTCCTGACGTCGCATCGGTCAGATAATCCGCATCGAAGCGCGTGGAGGTTTCACGATCCGAATCCATCTGACCGTCCTCTGGGCGCACTCTGGGGGGAGTGAGAATCTTCCCAGCGGCCCGGGACGAGACCGGAGCTTGGAGTTCTGATGGTTACCGCGTTTTCCCGAGCCTGATAGATCTCACTGCATGCTGCGGGGAAATATTCCAATATAGCGCTAACAGTGCGAGCGTACCGAGTGATGTTGCGATCACGGGAAGATGCGCTGTGAAAGGGGATGCTCCTCGCTCGAAATTTCCCTTACTTCAATGTGCTCGAACGGGATCCTTCGAGGTTCCGATATCCGATTAATTTCAAGGATTCGAATTCTCTAATCTGTCCACTGATCTCGACTTCCTATTGGGCAACCATCCGCGCGCTGGCCCAGCTATGCACGCGAAGTGTACCTCGGAGTCCCCATGCTCCCCATAGGTCCGGCCGAAAAGGCTCCGCTTTCTCCGGGTAAGCTCCGTCATGAAAATATCCACGGAAAAACACTCCGATTTCTCTCTACGCAGGGCCGGTGCCGTACCGTCCCGACCCCGCTCCAGGAGAGCCTCCCGCCTGAGAACTAATCCAACCGAAAGGGGATCGCCCGTGGAACTTTCTACCCAAAGGTGATTCTGAACGTCATCGTAAAGAGGATACGCAAGAAATCTCTGAGCGATCATTGCTTTGCTCGAACCTATTGTGAAACTCAATGACACGAAGCTGAGATAATTAGAGCCTGATGCAAAGGCTTCTCTTAAGGCCTCCCATCTGTGGGACTGACTAGCAGTACACGAACTCCTCAAGAAACTGCCTCACAGCACCTGTTTCCTGTCCGCTTGAATTTTTTTCTTCATCGTTTCCGTACACGTAAAAGCTACGGACGACAATAACGGGAGATGGCGCCTCTCCGATTCAGCGCTTTTTTAGATGAGCTTGGTCTTCGGCTAATGCGACGAAGGCTGAATCTTCTTTCACCTCTTTCAGGTACGTAATCCGCTCGGTAACTCATATCAATCCACTGGAGAACCTGGCGGGGTTCGGACTAGGGAAGCATCAGCGGAGAATTCAGAGCTCCAGCCTTCAGAATATATGAATTAGTCTCCATGAGTTCCTGCAGGCCTCGAGGAACTGGGCTTGAAAGAATAGGACAAAACGCGCATGTCTGGCATGGGCCGGATCCATCCTCGTATTTCCGTCCGTATCGCTCGTCAACGGCACACCGTCGTGTTGGACTGTCATTGAATCGAATATGGCATCGAACGAATCGAGACAAAATATGAATTTGTCAAGGAATTGCTCAGTAATGGAGTTGACCTTTAATTCTCCGAATCCCGCTCCACCTGTCCAGAAATTTCTCATCAACCATCACCAGTCAAAGGGGTACCGCCTTAGGGAACCACCTCATGTTTTCCGCGAGTGACCCACGAAACATTTTCGAGCACTACGATCGACTCGCGGTCTAAAGTTTTGTCGCTGCCGAAGGAAAATACCTAATTTAGTCTTAATGCTCGAAGAGTATTTTGGACGCCGCGGTCTCTTGTCCGGCATCGGATACAGCGACGATGGCCTAGAGAAAGTTCCCACGGTGCGACTTCTTCGCTTGAGGGACAGCACAGACGGGCAGCGGCGACAGAAAACCCTCGGGGCGAAGACGACGTCATGCTACGCCTGCGGAGGGAAGTCCGTATCCGCTCGTTGTCTCATTCGTAGAAGATTTTCTCAATGGCGCGTAGTAAACGTATTTGTTGCCCTACGAACACATCCAGTCGCATGCGCTCTCGAGTTTTTTTTTGATCGCGCAGCGAATCGTAATATTGAATTTCGACTACGATGAATCAAACGCCCCACTCGATCATCCCGTTTGTCCGAGGTGGTCTACAACGACCTAGAGCATATAACGGAGGCATCGAGTCCTGAGTTTGCACCCGAAACCTTCAGCTTGCCACCCCTGAAGACAGCACGGCGGACTTTTGTGCGCTCTCGCTTACAATATTAATATCGGGACGGCGTGAAATTATTCTTTGTCTAAGAATCGGGAGCCGCAGGCGCCTCTGATTTGCGCCTCTGATTCCACGCCATTCAACCCCTTCCGAGCATCCGATGTTGCGCACATAGATTTCTGAGCTCGTTATCAGCGAAATCTACCTGAAAATTTGTCAGCGGAGCGGAGTGTCTTTGTTGATGAAACAACCTGCAGAAAATTCCTGTACAGCAAATACCGTCAGGTTGTCGGCTACGTTTCTCACGGTGTCGTCCCGGCGCCGTCTTCTCTCCCAAAAGAGAAAGCGAAGCCCGTCGTATAAAAGCACCCCACCATCGAACCCCCGGAACTCACGCAGCACATAAGTCATCCATGACTGACCTCTCAGGGTGCTGACCGGAGTACCGACGTAATAGCTAGTCACCTGTGTCAAGATGGTCAAGGCTAAACGTGCATCGGTCGCGTCGCCCTTCGTTAACTCGGTCCAGAGACGCAACGAACGTGAGCGCAAGAGAGTTCACCAAGTCAATGAGGGTTTCGCCTCTTTACGAGAACGTTTGCCCAACGGTGCCGCGAATCAGAAACTGTCGAAGGTTGAAACTCTCCGCTGTGCCGTGAATTACATCCTCGAGCTCCAGAGTATACTGTCGGTGTCAGAGGAGGAAAGTACACACTCGAGCGATCTGTCTTCGCCGGAGCCTCAATTCTACAAAGTGGAGGAGCGCGCTCGTTTGTGGAATTGGACCGATGAGCGGTATTCGCAGAGGAGTTGCCGGGACAATCAACTCGTACTGGAGATGACTAGTAGGAAGACCGTGATGTGAAAAGCTTCGCTCCGTCGGACCAGATTCGTTCCCGTGCAGGAATCCCACCGCGAAAACCATCGCCTCATGGTCTCTGCTCGCTGTCGATGATTTCAACGCTTTGTGATATATGTAAACAGAACACCCATGACCTTATTGTCTATATTTAAACCTGGGAAATTTCCATGGAATGATCCCGAAACTTTTTGCCAAATGACAAAACTGTCAGTAAACTTTTTGAACCGTACCTCATCCTCGTCTCATTATCGGGTCCCGGGGTGATCATGTGAAGCTCGTTTCCCAAACAGGTTCGAAGTCCTGGACTTTAGGCGAGATCGTGGCTGAAATTTTGAATCTTGGGATGCTCATCTGTGATCATGAGCGCGGCGCCGGAGCGTAGGCTACGAAAATTCTCCCCGCTGGTCCGGGAGTCGGCACCAGGGTCGGTCGGCGGAGCTCGCGTGCTCCGTAGCGCTCCGAGTTCATCGTACGAGCTCCCTGCCGCCTCCGATTTCATTGGTGACGGGTAGGCATTGCAAATAACCGCAATTCAGAAAAACCGCGGTTTCGATTAACCGGAACCGAAAAACCGCTAACCGCGATTATGATCGCAAATAACCGCGATCGCTTCAGCGAGTAATCTGAGGCGAAATCAGCATGTGAACATGGATCTATTTCTATTGTAGCTTATTTGAAGCTTATTTGAAGCTTTTCGGGGGGGGGGAAAGGAAGATGACGAGCTCACTCAGAGAATGGAATCTCCCGTTTGTGTGTTTGATGAATCAAGAGTTGGAAGGATCATGGAGTCCAACGAATTTCAGAGAAGATGTACTCTCTAAGACAATGATCAAGCCGGGAGCGTTTGATGGCTCTCGCAGCACGAGCAAAGAGTATCGTTGATATTTTGATTTCGATTGCTTGAGCAACGAAAACGCCAATGCACGCTCCGCCGCTGCCAGGTCCACATCCAACGTGCCTTCGGACGTGAAATCTCAATGTTACGTGCCGTGCGCCGAGATCCGAGATCGAAGATGATATTCCTCGAGCTATTCTAGGAGCTGAGCCAATTGTCGGAAAATTCTTCTGGAAATCATATTTTATTCGTTCTCGTATTCGGTAATAGGCTGGAGAATAATTTTCGAGACATTTTGAAGGAGCTATGACTGATCCTCAGGCCTTTTGACGTCTGGATTGGCAGGCCGCGATTTGCGATAATTAATCGAGATATACATGCGATTGATCACGATTAAAAACCGCGATTTCGAGCGGTTAATCGCGATTTTTAACCGCGGTTAGAAACCGCTGCAATGCCTAGTGACGGGCCGCGATATCTATACGGCTGCCCACGAGGATCAGCTCTCCGAATCCTCTGACGCTGCCCATTCGTGAATTCGACTCGGAGGGTGCGCAAATTCACTTCCGAGCTCGCGCCATGCAGAAGCTCCACTTTGTGAATGTCAGCTCGGGACAAGGCTGGAAGCTTGTCCCACTAATCGTGTTATCATGTTGAATCGTATGAGTCGCCAGGGCACGCTGTAGTTTGTGGGCGCTCTTCAAATGACATACAGGCCAGAGTGCACTTAGGAGGAGGGGAGGGGCGCCCATCGAATGACAATGGGGAGTTCATAGAGTCCAGAGAGAGGCCTCCGCCGCAGAGTCCTCTCCGAGCCAGATCACCCAAGTCCGAAACGGGACACTATGAACGTCTAGCGCTCAGAAATCTATTTTTTTGAGCTCGATATTGTGTGATGGATATGATGAATAGTGAAGGAGACTCCCTGGCGCCGAAGGCTCATTCGGCAGGAGATAAACCGAATTTGGAGACTACTTTCGGAAATCAAGTTTACCATCTGAGAAAAACAATGGAGTTATCAGGACAAATACAATAATCCTTCAACCCACCGAGCCATTCGCCTCCCTTTTGGAATTTTCGGGTGAACGCCGCGATTCTGAGGTGCGAAATCCTCCACTCGAGAACGATGCTCCGAGCGTCTGGAAGCCAGTGTCGGCGTCTGACTTATGCGGTAGCGATCTCCCAACTTACTGTTAATCAAACCTGTCTCGATGGAAGCTGACCTGGGATTGGACTGGCCTCTTCGATCGACGATCCCGATGGACAGCGACTCCGATAGTGTATCTAGGGGTGTGATGCTTCCCATCGCGGTGTTCCGATGATCTTCCGCGGCTCGAACATTGCCGACGGGGAGGAGAGTCGGAAATCATTCTGATTGACTTGACACACGACCAGAATGAAGCCTTCTATGTACGAAGAAGAGTTGGATCTTCGCGCACGCGAAAAGTCGGAGGCAACGGCTCCTCCCTGAGCTTCCCAAGTCAGTCCCCGGCTCAGATCTCCGGGGACGTGGGAGCGGGTAGAAGGATCGGCAGCTCTTTTCTGTTCACGGTACGGATCGAGTGTTGGTCGTCTTATTTCTTCCCTTCCGATTTTATTGATGGGCGCATCGTTTTATCGGATGCAGCGTAAACTCGTTTCCATTCAAGGGATGCTTCGCCAGGATATTCAGGAATCCGACTTTTAAAGCGTTGCGGGAGGAACCCCCGTTTCGACCAGGAAGGAAAGAACAGGCGCAGTTTTCCTTGTTCTGAGAGAATCTTTATTGAGTAGTAAAATAGGTGAATTTCGCTCAAAAAATAAAGATGCTTCTGCTCTCCTGTCTTTTTCGTTAAATTGAGACATGACATAACATTGTAATTGTTGTATCCTAGTGACGATCTCCGTCATCGTCGTCGACCGGTACTAGATCGAGAAAAGCAGACTTCGCCAGCATCAGACATTTGACCATAAGATGTTGTACATATAGGTAATTATTGTTCAACATGATTGACAAGATCCGATCAATGGTCAAACACGGATCAAAAGAGCTTTTCTCAAAATCTAACACCACATGAGGTTACTGTGTTGGATGATCGATTGCGTGCAAACGACGCGATCCTCTCCTCCTCGTGGGTAATTGTACAGTGATAATCTGTTGTCGCTATTTTTTGCATATCGTCGTCATAATGTCGCGAATATTCGCTCCTATAAGCTAGGGATAAGGTAAAAAGAATATAACTATTCAGCCACTCGTGAGAAGTGGCCGCACCGGGATGAGGTTTAGAGTGTGCCGTAGGACACACCTAAAATTTGTTTCTTTGCCAGAGAACTCTTTCAACTTTGCGGACTAGTCCATGTTTTTCAAAATGAGATCATATCGTGTTTGCACTAGGTTCTGTTGTTCGTTCCGTCAACCATCGTTTCGGATCGCATTCCGTTCTCTCGTCGTCGTCGTCGTCTTCGCCTGCTTCGACTTTTTAATATTGAGCCCTATCGAACCACAGAAATCGAGTGAGGTAGAACTTGGTGAGATCACCACCGTGTTTCCCGGGAGTATCCGAATAATACGATACAGGAAGGAATCGTAAGGCACTTTCCGATTTTTCGCGTTTGATGGGAATTTCGTCGGACGGGAGGCAAAAAATGATCAACGTTTTCAATAATCGGGAAATTACTGAAAAGCTTGACTGAAATGTGGCAAAGGAGAGCCCAAGCCGTCAACAAGAGGTGGAGTTAAAGGCGTTGTGGTCTGGGGGGAAGTTGGTGATAGCGGGGATAAACTACTGACGACACCCATCCCACTTTGACCGACATTATAATAGTTGGTGGTGTTCTGTGAGATGATCGGCATGAGTGTGAAGTAGGAACTTGATGTCGAGCTTGGATGGAAATCCATGCTAGGAACTCCCGAGTGGGTTGTCACAGTGTTCGTTGATGATGCTTCGTGCTTGAGAACCGGTATCGCGTTCCGATTCTCGTCGTCGATGAAATAAGACGAGAACGAAGGTGATATGTAAGCAGATGGTGCCCACGATGAGTGTGAAACTAGAGGATCTTTCCCCGACTGTAGAATATTTTGGTTGACCCCCGTGCCGACTTGACCTTGAGACACCGGCAGGACTGTGACCGGCGGACCTGTCACGATCAGCTGGCTAGAAGAGCTAGTCGTCGCTAACGGCGTCAGATGGTGAGGGGACTGGGGCACAACCACGTCTTCATGAAATTGTTGTTGCTGGTGAACCGGGGACATGTCACCGTAGTTGAACACAGACGCTATAGGCTGTTCTTGCTTAACTTCGGTGGGTGTCGAGGGGGCTTGAACAGAGTGAGAAGACATCATGATCTGCGGCAGGAGCGGGGATAGCGGCGGTCCGGGCTCGGGTGGAAGAAGTCCTGTGGTGGAACTGACTCCGGGATCCGACAAGGGCACCGTTCCGCTCGGGCCGATACTGTTGAGTCCGTTTTGATTGTTGTTGTGGCTGTTGCCATTGTTGTTGTTGTTGTTATTGTTGCCGTTGTTGTTTGACTGGTTGTTGTTGTTGTTGTTATTACTATTGTTATTATTGTTGTTATTTGCGGAATTGTTGTTGTTATTATTATTGGTGTGAGTTTTCTTGGTGTGTCGAACAAGGTGGTCCTTCCTTCCGAACTTCTGTGGACAATATTGGCAAACGAAATTCCGCTGTCCTGTATGAACAACCATGTGACGTTTCACGTCTTTACGAGTGAAGAACGAGCGATCGCATCTTTCGCATTTGAACTTGCGTTCTGATGAGCCTGAAACAGGCGCGTGATGAGTTTCGAGCCTAATCATTATAGCCAGATGCCAGATGAGATGAAAATGCTTGTCAAGGAAAAAAGTCGAGCTGGAGAAATTCTACTCACGCTTGACGACCCGACCCGGCGAACCCGCTGCGGAGTGAACCTTTAAATGCATGACGGCCTCCTCTCGTGTGGCAAAATACTTGCCGCATAGCTGACATTGGGGATCGCCTTGCGATTCCTGTGCATGTAACGCAGTGTGTTTGGTGAGATCTAGTTTCGACGTGAATTCCTTGCCACAAAAATCGCATTCGAGTATTCCCCGGTCCTGCTGATGGGAGTCCATGTGATCCTCGAGCGAATCTTTATTATCGAACGAGGATTCGCAAAGCGGACACTGCAAGATGAGGTACGGTTGAAAGACATCCCTCGCTATTGCGACCCTAAGATCTGGAGAGGTATGATAGTGACTGACAATGCGCGGTATGGGCCGCGGTCTCCTGTCGCGTCCTGACAGAGCTCCGACCGAACACTCACGGGGTAAAGACCATCGGCTCCCAGGTCGTCCAGGGGTCCTCCATGAGGTCCAGCTAACTGGAAATCCATTTGTTCGAGAATTTGTTGATGCATGTGCAATGAGATCACAGGGCGCTTCAGCGTTGAACAACTGAAATGGAACATTTCCTTGAGGAACGACCGCGATTCGAAGCTGTCGAGGGAACCGCTCGATAATTCCCGGACTCGCGATCAGGTTGGGACATCTGATGCTCCATATGAACCTTTGTGCTTCTCTTTGCTGAGATTCCTTCGGAAGACTGTATTCGTTTCACATCTTCGCCGGTAGACCATGGTGGGGCGTCAACGCTTTGACGGTTCCAATGATTGCCATCTGAAACGGACGCAGGGAATTAGTACTCTACACCACTTCACATTCCTGGTTCCCCATGCTGTGCTGCGTTGGAACATGCGAACTCTGCAGAGGTGACGCTTTACGTCGACCAGCGCTGAGATTCACCTCTCATTCAGGAGGAGATCGCGACGAGCTCGGTGCAGGTCTCTGGGGAAGAACTCTTCTTCCGCATTCCGCGTGTCAGCCTTCATCGTGGCAAAGGAACGACTGCGCTTAGAAATAATAACGTCATCTCGAGCTTGGGTCTTTCGGGGGTTCAGACGACCCCCACCCCTCCCTCCCCCAAAGCGGAGGATCGCTTTCGATCATGAAGCGGAATTCATTTTTTTCCGCAACTCCTCAGATCCCGTCAGCGAAATCCTGCGCGGATTGTCGTGGTACCCTTTGTGCTTGATCGGCGATTCTCGTCTCTCCATGTACCAGATTCTTGACTTCGCTCCTGCATACGCCTTTAGGCAGCGGCTGGCCAGACAGTGAGAAGCATGGAGCAGAATACGCGTAGTACCATAACCGATGCGGCGGCAGCCAGCACCACCATCAACAGCAGCGGCATCATCGACTCAGCGAGCGAGTGAGTGAGCGAGCTAGAGACCAACGAACCGACGATCGGACGAACCGACCAGTCGTCCGGCTCGCCTACCTGACAGCAACAGGCAGGCGAGCAGACAACGAACAAGACCAACGAGCCCAGGCGCCGATACTGAACACCTGGCTCACTCACTCGGAGGCTGGCTGGCTGGTTGGCTGATCGTACAGTCGAATACCAAGCACCAGAGGAAAAAAAGCGCGCGAGGAGAAAGAATGAAAAAAATAAGAAGACCACAGCCCACGTCTTCGACAGCGGCGAATAGCCGGAGCGGCGGCCGAGCCGGCAGCAGCCAAGCTAGCTTGAGGGGCTTTAAAAACAACAGCACAAAAGCAGCTCTAATAGAAGCCAGCAGCGCCATCTCCAGAAGACGGCCAGACCTAGGGTAGATCTAGCTTGTGACCTAGATAGATGCTGCCGCGGCTGTCTGAAGCCTCGCCTCTACTTTCTTCACGCATTTCGTGACTATCCGAAGTTCCCACTCATATTCTCGTCGGGCGATCCCGGTATCGAAATCTACCCCTGTACCTACTTCTTCCCGAGTCTCATTACCACGCAGACGATAGCGTCCGCAAGTTTCGTTTTATTCGTCCAAAACTCGTCCCGGAGCGACTCGAGGAAGTAGAAAATCTCTTCCTGAGAAGAGCTGTCGCGATACCAACAAGTGACGCAGCAGTTGCAGCAGCCGCGGCGGCGGCGGCAGTATTCCTCTCCAGAGAAATTAATGTGGGCCAAGGCTGCTGTGGTAGAGGCGGGCTCTGGCACATTCAACGAACCACCCACTTGGACTTTTCCTTTCGGGTGGAACCTTATAGAGGAAGGGAATAAACCGAGAAAACAAACGATTGATGTCGGAGACCTCTCGAAAGTAGAGGAAAACGGAAGTTTGTTTGACTTTGGAATAAACTCGAAGGATGGAAGACGGAGCGGTTCGGTGGAGCTACATATCTCCGTCGGTGCCTTCAATACTTGGATACCAATAAAAATATCGAGAATGAAGTTTGCGGCTGACCGCGTCGTCGGCGACCGGTCCGACTTTAGTTGGTCGCTGAGGCTACCGCCGCCGCCGCATCGGCCGCTGTTGTTGTATCAGGGGGAAACGACCACGAGCGAAACGACGACGGCGACGACTGAGAAATAGCATTCGACAGAAGCTTAAGACTGTCTAGCCGCTCTCTCCGCTTCTATCCATGTTCCCGCGATTGCTGTCCCGTTAACTTGAGCCACAACCGAGGGGCACCTCAACGCTCTGCGCGGACAGCCCGAGCTTGCACTGCAGTCTCGGACGAGTCGCACGCAGCTTCAATTTTCTTTTTCGGCTACTCGTGAAGTCCAATAAAGGGACTAGCGAGTCGAGCACACGGTGCCGCAGACGCGGTCGGTCGACATTACAGCAAGTGCATCATGGACACCGCACAGGGACGCGCTGCTCACACACATACGCTCAAACACTTATGTACAGACAGATTCTCGCACATCGGTCCTGGTCCGAAACTATCGGGAAGTACGGCGTTTTCTCTGCTCGGATCAATCCGCCCTGCTTTCGCTGATATTCGTCCGCGTCCGATCGGAGCTCGTACGAACTTACGCGTTCGGGGAGGGAGGGACGAACGATCCGGAGGAAACGCAGAGAAAAAAATCGCTACGTCCTGCCTGGAGAAAAAAGTCGGTCAAAGAAGGCTTGAGTTCGGCGATTGCGGAATCAGGAATTCTCTGAAAAAATCGAGAACTTGAGCATGGAATACCCATCGGTGGTCACGGAGCTCAGCACGGCCCGTCATCTGAAGTGCTCGCCATTTGGACGAACTCAAACCCTAGACAGCGTTCTTTACGACCTGCTGTTGATTCTCTCAATCCAACTGTGCGGATCCGAAGATTCAACGTGCTCAAATTCTCTTGCAAGGTCATGAGAACGTCCTTGAGCCGCAACGCCTTGAAGAACGCTTGCTCGTCTCTAGTCGCTCTCTCCTTTTGTTGCAGCTCCTGTGACTGTTGATTCGAGCGCACCCAGTCTACAGAATACATTCTGCGACGCCCTCTTTCTTGTTTGAAGGATCGAGCGATATTCCGAGCTCCGCGGCATGCAGTGAGGGAAGATCTCGTTCTCTAATGATCTAGCTCGCGGTTGATGTGACTCATATTTTCCCGAATTATCTCCCTCAGAGGAGATCCGCTCCTTCCGAATTCTTATTTCGAAATCAAGCTCATGGCTTCGTGCCGCCGATACCGATAGTTTACCAAGACCCATTCAAGGAACCCCAGAGGGAATTCTGTATTCGGAATTTCTGATATCGAACAGCTTTTTCGAAAGCGTCTGTCTTCCGTCCGCGACCGAGCTTCTTCCTCGAATCAGGCGCAAGGACGTCGCCCTCAAGTCTCGCGCTTTTCGGTATCAGGCCGGTACGGGCGTTGCTGTTCGTGTTACTGAAGTTCCAGACATGTCTACGAATAAAAGTTTGCGCCTGCTGCCAGTTCTCGACAATGGAAACAGCTCGTCAACGGACGCGCAGATCGGCCGATCGGTCGGCAGTTAGGCTGTGAGGCAGGCAAGCAGTCAGTCCGTCCAGTCTCTCAGTCACTCAGTCAGTCAGTCGGCCGGCCAGCCAACCAGCCATCGATTTCAGCACATCTGGCGGAGAACAGATGGAGACAAGCAAGAAAGCGAAGACATATCGACCGCATCTTTCCACAGACTCAGTCAATCGGACCGTCGCGTATTCATCGGGATCAATAACTTCACAGATCCATGGTAGAAATCAAGTTCGGTCACGTCGCGTGGAGTCATGCAGAGCAACGGGTCGGTATACAAGACAGCTCCCACCACCGCGACGAGCTCGGTCAAGTACGGGACGGAGAATTTGAGTACCATAGGATGAACTCGAATTCCTCGTCCCTGACCGAAGTCGGGGACGGTCTCCCAGACCCCGTTTCCATCGACACAGGGAAACCTCAATTTGAACATTTGATCCGGAATGCTGGATCTGGATGGAGAAGATATCGTGATTCCTCAACCCGGCAGCTCACAGAAGACGGTGCACAAGTCCGAAATTCATTGCTTTGGACCGACGACGGAGCATCAATCGCGCCTCGCATCGAATGACTCCGGAAGGGCGTGATCGAGCGAAAATGAATTGATTGAGGAGCCCATTTCGGCGAGCCTTCCTCGTCCCCGATTTCGAGAGCATATGGATTCGAATAGAAGCCACCATCCGCGGATGTCAGAGAGGGACTGTGCAGCAATCATCCCTTTATTCTGAGAGGGAGTCGTGGCAACCACGAATTCCGCTCGTAGGAAACTTTTCCCCGCATGCGGGGGATCGGAGAGCCACTCACAGTTTCTGATTCATCAAGAATAGGACGAGGCCGGAGGGATCGGGTCTGATATCGATGCCCCGCCTCGAAAGCGACTTGTTTACTTGCTCTTCCCGACCGAAAAGAGCTCGTAAGGCTTTCCTCGGAAGATCTGCAGAACCCCTCAGCTGAATTGGATTGAAATTCGCTCGCTCAGAGAGCGACTAATCGCATCGCCATCGCTACTCAGTGTCAACCCAAATCTCTGTAGGTCAGTAACGCGTTGCTCTTCGCTAATACTCGCAGTGCCGCGATGGGGCCCCAATGTTTTGCTGTGGAGGGGCCAGCGTGGCACCGTTACCATGGCATGCCAAGTTCAAGGTTAAGCGGCAATGCAGCTGGTTACGACGCAGACGAGTAAATGATCGGCGAAGCGAGCAAGCGGACGAGCTACCAATCAACAGCTTCCGATTGAAGCTTGTCACTGCCGCCGATCGTGGGCCGGAGGAGAGTCGAGATATCTATCACGCTGCATGTATGCGTCGCGAGTGGATCCTTCCATTGCGTATGCGCGTCGCCAATCTGCCATACAAACATCTCGATAAGGGCTGGGCGAGTCTCTCGTCCGAGATTTTATTATTCTCGGCGGAAGTCTCCGTGGCTAACGAGCTTCTGATATTACTATCTGTCGCTCGGTGGTCGACCGTTTTTCCCTACGCTCATTCCGGTGAAACGAGAGCGAGTTTCCGCGGAGGAAAGTAGTGAAAGCCGAATGAAAGCGACATCGGTATCATCGCGTTCGTTCTTGGGCCCCAGCGTGATACGAGGGAAGTATCGACGGAACGATTCGATTCTCTCATGAATTTTTTTTCTGGAAATATTTCTGGTAGGAGCCTGTGACAGCTTTCGCGTCTGCTCTTGCGGCCGAGTCCACAAGTCCCGGGAGACTCGAGCTCATGAACGCGACCGACGACGCGATCGCACGCATGTCATGAACCCCATGCACCAGGACCGGACAGCGCATCGCCGTCGACGGGAGCTCCGAGCCCACTCGAGTCTTTCTAGAGGGTGGGAGCAAGGCGTACATAGTTCGAAAAATAAATAATTCTCTTACTTAATTTCTCTGTAATTTTTGCGCTTGAGGGAAGTGATCGGCGAATGCAGGTGAGGACCGTAATGAGAGGAAGACAGTAGTATTATCCAGGAGAAGACTCCTCAACCTGTTGCTTTATGGTAGGCAGGAGTAGTGGGAGCGGTAGTAGTAGATGTACACACGAAACACATTTATGGGAGCATTTATCAAACATATGCGCGCACAGTCACACTCGGAAGAGAAAGCTTACTAAGAAGGGCGTGCATGCGGCCGCTTTGCTGGCCAGGCAAGAGGCTTCTGGCTCTGACGAAGAAGAGACCAACAGCGGCGCCTACCGTCAACATGCAGAACGCAGCTCCCAGGCTACGCCAATAGCCGACTGGGTCATGCGGAGCTATGAGCTCTTTTTACCTACGAGGGGGCGGGGGTTCATGTTCACTGCGTGCCGCCACGCCGCAGCGGTGACTCTATTCTCCTACAACAGACGAGCATACAGACAGACGGACGGACGAACAGACCGAGCGGACGGCCGGTCGTCGTCGTCTTCGTCATCGTCGTGCCGAACTAGCTATAAACCTATTGGGAGGAGGGTGACGCATGTAGATTCATGTGAAGTCACATTGGGCCCGACCCCGGCTGCCCACATGGGGCGTCATCGATCCAATTAACTGCGACGGGGAAAATCTCGCTCTCGCCAGAAGATTCAATCATCCCTCCCGCCAATATGCGGAAATTCCGTGACCACGATTTTTTCCCGGAGTCTCGTCACTCTCCGCGAAGACGACATCCCACACCCCCTTTCCTTCTTCGAGACAACATTCCCAAGCGAAGCCATCCATGATCAACCTCTCAGTCTCAACATTCTCACTAAAGTTCGTATGGACGGCATGGCTTCCCCCACCCCTGAATTCTCTCTCATAATATTTTTTCCTGAGGCGTTGCTCTCGGCCATGTGAGCAACGCTGCCGTACGATGAATTCGAATTGATCCTGCTCCCGAGAGAAACTCCCGGAGCTCGATGGGCGATGTTCTGCCCGAATTATCGATGTCGCCGAGGACGATCGTCGTGGAGGAATCACCCGTAATTGAGGACGAGGATGAGGGGTCATCGTTGCAGATCTCACAGCGAGGCTCCAAGAACTATCTCACCATCAGTGCTTTGACCATAAGGACATTTTCAGAGCTCGGACATTCAGTGGGAGCGGGGAGTTCATTGTTCGGAGCACCGTCTCCGGGGATTGGTTTGCGATATTCTCAATTTGAAAGCCTGGCGGATGAAGTGAGCCGGGATCGCTAGAAGTCATCGCGGTTCCGTTAGGCTCCATTGACCTGCTGCGTACCGTCTCCGATGACTCGCCAGAACGCAGCATCTTGCCGGAGAATCGAACCTGATTCCCATCTAATTTTTCAGAAAGGGTCAAGGAAATGTGTCAATCTGTCGATAGGAGGAAGTTGGCATCTTCCGCCTTGAAGCACTCGAGAACGCCGCGCCGTCTACATTGGGGGGCGAAGGCCGTCGGGAGTTCCAAGTCTTCGTCGAACATTCCCTCACCGTTGCATCAGTCTCTCACTGCATTCACACATGTCATGACGGAACGTCAGTTTTTGGAGAGAGGGAGCCTTTCAAGAAGATCGCCCCGAATAATTACCGGCGGCTCGATCAACAAGGGAACTCATAGAGGAGACGGCATCCAGTCCTTGGTCTTGAATAAATTAGAATATGTGCAAGGAATGTTGCATTCCCAGGATGGTGCCAAACTTGGAACTATAATACTTTTGCAACTGGCAACTTCGGCAACTCGCGGCTCGGAACCACTTGAGCACCAACTTGGTACTGGATCCGCAGAGGTGGACTCTTTAAAACGACATTCGCGAAAACCTTCCGATCATAGCTCGTCGGATGCTCCCGATACTTATTGCACAACCGCTTACAGCTAACCCTTCGAGGGAATACCTTTATCGTGCCGGTCACCCATGGCGCATCTATCCTCTAGTCTAGAATGAAGGAGGACGGCGTGGCCACTCATCAAGGTGAATCGCGAGGGTGCGAAGGAAAGGCAAGTGAAGTCGTCACTTCCAATGATGAGGGTCCTGTGATGAGACTGCTCCTTCTAAACGAAAACCGCTTCTTTATATTCGAAGATTCTGGAAAGGGTACCTATCTAGAATTCCAGGTCCTGAAATAGGGATTTCTGTTAGAGCATAGCGCTTCCGTATGAATGGCTGGTGCCGCCCCGATCCCAGGGCACGGAGCAGACTTGCGGATGGAGGCTGAGATGCGAGCTTGGAAACTTCATTGACGAGATCTTCGGGGAGGGCCCCGGAATCATGATCATCGTGCGAGGGTCCACCAGATACCGGAATGAAGAGGAAGGTGGTCTCAATATTGCAGGCGATTATCCCTGATGATGTTATAACAGCGTTTATTACCGAAGTTCGGGAACGAGGGGAGGGATCGTCTCGCCGACGATCGCTACCCGCTCGTGGGCATCCAAAGTGTTTTGCAGGCCTTTCTTGGGTTGGGGAGCGATGGTACATACCTTCCGATCGCTCTAGTTTTTTTGACAACTCTCCAACCTCCTCGATCGAGTTTCCGATCGATTCGAGGACCTGACTTCCTCTCCTGGAACCATAGATGTGCCTTCAGACTCAGCGTCTAAGGATATTGCCGGAGATGCCAGTAAGCTTCCGTTGAGATTCCGCCAGAGACTCCACTTGAAGCTCGCCTAACGTCGCTGATTGGTTCGCGACGAACCGAAGTAATTCGAGGAACAACGTATATCGAAGGAGGATCCTCCGGGTTGCTGGGATTTGCTTTTCTAAGGTCTCGGCAGCGGAGACCAAGTATGTATGGTTGTGGTTTGGCCGGTAATGGTCTCATCCAGAAGTTGTCTCATTTCTCCCACATAGCAACGATTTTTCATCTAGTCTTTCTCTTTTCGGAAATCAACTTATCTGAATGACCTGCTCCTCATCGTCTTCCAATTTCATTTGGTTTGGAACGAGAGCGCTTTCACGATAAGTACGGTTTTCGAGCAGCGATCGGAATGCATATCTTGGACGCCGATCGGACATAAATATATGTGTGCCCTCCGGAGAGCCTCTTGCTCCCCGGACTCGATTCTGACGAATTCCTGCCCTGAATGATCATTTATCCTTCGACCACAATCAGCAGCGTATCCACCTCGGGGCTGGATGGGGCTCGAGATCCCCCTCCCTTCCCCCGGACTTCCGTTCGTAAAGCTAGCGGACTTTCGGCCCCTGAGGAAACCCAATCCGGCTTTTGAGAAAAGTCCTAGTCAGAAGGCCACACCGGTGCAACAGCTGACGATTGGGACAACTATCAAATTCTGGCAGGCGAGGATGCGATAGGCTTCAAATTCTGCACGTACATGGCATTTCCGCTAATGAGCGGGATTCGAGCATCGATTTGCGAAAGAATCATATCGGGCATTCCCGGAGCTAGAACCTCCATTGAACTTCACAAGCTCTGTACTTGTTCTGTTCCAGAGGCTGCTGGGTCCAACTGCCAGATCAGCTGTCATATTGTCCGTGAATCGGGATTCGGGAACCCCGGAGCCAGACGAGCCAGAACGGAGGTGTCGAAAGTTTAGAAGACGAGAATCAGGGGATCGGAGTAGAGAAGGGCCATCATTCCCTCATCGCCAGACTGATGTACATACCTACGATACATCGTAATACAAGGGTGAACCGTTAATATACTACCTGATTGAGGGGCATGCACGTCAATCTTTCGACCCTTCAACACAGCTGTCCCTTCATTAAAGACTGCCTGTCTAACTCTCCAGTCTGCCAACAAGATAATCGAAAGCGGCTGCTCACTCTTCCCGGTATCCGAACTCCTTTCCTGATATAATACCCGTTCATCAGAGTCGAGACTGTTCGAGCATCAGAGCCTGCCTGTCTATTTCCTCAATGCTCCCGACCCTGCCAGTTGACTCGGAACAACCCTCCTCCATATGGGAATATTTCCGGTATGTGATAGAGTGGTGAAGTCGATGAGAATCGGAGTGACGTCCGGGATTTTATTTCAGTGGGAGCTCGGGGTGGAGGGATGGACGTAGCCCCCATTCCTCCCTCGATCTCGTGGGGTCTTCTCATGCTCCGATATCCACAGTCAAAACAGGGATGTGGTCGAAAACTGATTCACGGTCGAACTGAAGGATGCGTTGTCTGGAGGAGGGGCTTGCAATGCAAGAGAATCTTCCGCCCCATCGGAATCTCACACCACTTCACACCTAAAGAAGTCGGTATTCGCAGTTCCCCCAAAACGAACACGAAAAAGTACCACGAACGCCTTCCGAGCTTTGCAGCTCGACGAAAACTGGCAGCCGGTACTTGACCATGGAGTTGATCTCCCTCCACTTGGGCAAATGAGTTCGCCTAAACCGTGCGCGCATCTTGAGAAAATTTGAAGAGCGACGCGCCCAGACTGCAGACTTTGCCGTTCTCTTCAGGAGAGAAGCATGATCCCGGCAATATACACCGCCAGATCGTGACGCACCGGATCAAAATCGCTCACAGCTGCGAGAGCGCTCCTCTCCGGGAGGTTGTGCCCCAAACGCTAATTCGAGAGTCAATAAAGGCGCTCGTCGGGGAAAACAACGATGGTGCTCGCGAGAGTATTCGGCTTCTTGCGAGGTCTGATATTCGGCTATCCGAGACTCCTCGCATCAGAAGAAGTCGAATTTTTAGAAAGAGTCAAGGCAAATGAATGCCCATCGGCCAACATCAGTGATTTTGAGTTCCTGGAATATTTTGAAGGATACTTCTGTGGGGATCGTTACGTAGCTACACTGAATGATAAGCGCTACTCGATCATAGTTAAGGCCAAGAGTGAGCTCCGCGCCGAGCCCGGACGCGTGCAACAAACGGTCAACGGGAAGAAATATCAGTATGCCTTGAGAAATGATTTCGTTGTCAAGCTCTACTACTCAGCGAAGAACATAAACTTCGTCTTTCTGGTCCTGGAACATGCACCCTGCGGTTGTCTATGGGATCTGGCAGATGACGATGAAGAAATTCTCGATGAAGACACGATTCAAAGAATCGTTTTCCAAGTGGTCTTGGGGCTCGAATATATTCACTTGTGCAATTTGATGGTGCGACATATCAATCCCGATAACATCTGGTTATTCAAACACGGACAGGCCAAAATTGCGAACCTCGAACTCGCGACAATCGCTAGCGACAAAGAGTCCACGCCCGTCGGCCTCCCGATGTTCCAGGCCCCAGAGATGGTGGCGATGAATTTTTATAACGCTGCCGTCGACTGGTGGGCTCTCGGGATTACGATCTGTCTGTTTGGTTTCAATGACTATCCCTTCAATGCTACCGGCGGCGATGACGAACTGCGGAAGAGTATTCTGAATGATCCAATCAGAGGAATACGAGAGATTGATATCAGTGACGACGCGTTGGATTTCGTGGAGCGACTCCTCGATAAAAATCCCACAAAACGGCTCGGTTCGACAAAGGATGGAATCAGAGCGATTAAGAGACATCCTTGGCTCAACAAGTACAACTACATGACATTCACCCATCCTGGTAGAGAAATACTGAGACTCCTATACCGCGTTGAGGGTGAGTCCATTCCGAAAGGTTCATTCCGCGGCCTCGCCCCAGATAGGAGAGACCTTCAATCTGCCGAATTCGCTGAGTTCTGATCAGATGAGCATCGACGCCGAAGTCTCCATTCATTGATACGTCCGGAGAACTACTCAAGTCGGACAAAGTTGAGCGTCTTGGTGGCTCTAACAAAATAAAACGCCGAGCGAGACTCTTCTCTGAGTCCGGATTGAATAGTTCATTAGAAATCATTTGAGCGTAATCATAATCATTATTAAAGAAAAACGATTATTTATAAATCATGATTCGTGACTTGGTCGGATGACGCTGCATGAATTAACGTCCCCGCCTCTTCCGGTGTCGAGCTCCGATATGGAGATAATGCTCTGAACCAACAGACAGGAAACAATCCTTTTGCTTGAGTATGATCGAGCGCTGCGATGCAGGTCTCCAAACCCGAATATGTATATCTCCCGGAGGGGACCGGGATAATTCATCCAGCGAATGGGATCCGCAGATCCTCTCCTTGGTCCGGGGGGAGGGCTCAGCGCACAACGCTGCCGGAACAAAACTTCGAGAATCCGGTTAGATTTCGTTTTCAATGGATGCAGCTCCAAAAAGAGGCGGTTCACGGCACCTCCTGCGAATCGGCATGCAATCGGACGGAATTAAATGACCGTAAATAACGTTACCCTGTATCTTCGGAGAATTTAGATATCATGAATCCACCACTATCAGCTCTCCGATCTCCGGTTCGGTGCTCCCTAGGTACGCCTCCGTGGAGGGGTCCCGCAAAACAGAGAACTTATCCCCCCATATATAAAACGCTAAGTCTGTGTGTCACTCTGTCTGTCTGTATGACGGACAATTTTAATTTGCGCTCCGTCTCCTTTGCCGCCGCGGCGGCGCGGCCGTTTCCGTTGTGAGGCGCCAATGCGAATCTACGCAGCAAGATGGACTCGAGTTCAAGATTTGCTCGATCGATTGTTTGCTCATCTTGGGGGTTCAATTGACTGTTCGGAATAGCGTTCAAGACTTTTCCGGTTGTATAGTGATATCATCAGGATTATCTATGGCGGATTTTCATGACGAAGATTACGAGCCGACGAATTTTAGAAACCGTCAGAAGGTGGTCAGTGCCAAAGCCCAACAACAAATCATTTTTCTCATGGAATTGATCGCATCGCGACAAACCGCCGCAATTCCTGATGGTGGATTTGCCGCTGCCTTCAACCTACGAATTCTCACCCGGGCCATGAGCTCGGGATTCCCGTTTGAGCCCACAATAAGGAGCGCGGCCGAAGGCCGCGTTCCCCAGGGCTGGTCAATCCATAATGGAGGGGCTTACACCTCGTGATCGCCTGCCCGTTGTAGTTTCACCCACCTCATTTACCAGTATGTTGTCTCTCTATGACGAGGAAATCGTGTTTCCGATGCAGTCGCGCCAGGAATGCAGTAGAACTGATCTCGAGGTCCAAGAGACTATCCGCGAGGGGATCTCATTCAACTGAATGGATAAGATTCAGGATCTCTTGCGGCAACGATCGTTTTTGCCGCGACGGGAGGAACGAGATTTTTTTTCCGTTCCAGAGACACCTCCCACTCTCGGAGCTCTCCGAGACTGAATCGCTGCGTCGGTGGACGGAGTTCTCCGATTCTCCGGTAGGTTCTCCCTCTAGGGATTCCATCACCATACCACACCGTTCCGAGATCTCCAGACTGGATCCTGGATAGAATCGATCCAAACTCCGAGTCAGCTGACGAGCTGGCTCGATCGTTCGGCATGGCCTCCATCAGCTCCGGGTAGAATGTATCCGAAGTCATATGGTGTTTTTCTCGTGAAATTGAGAAAGCCGAACGAGACACCGGATGAGTTTAGGAGCACGGAGAGGTTTTGAGTCATCGGAAAGGAGATCTTCTTCCATCCATCGTATATCAGTCCGCCCGAGTTCTTCCTGATGTAGGAGGGTCATCGGAGGCTTTATCGTTTGATCTGGACTTGAGTATTAGCCGCAGAATCTTGATCGTTAACAGGTCATCGCGATCTTACATCCGTTCTTGGGCCCATGGAAGAGCTATCTTTTCAGATCGCAGAAGCTAAGGTGGCGGGAAATTAATCATGAATGCGTACTCGTGCTCCAAGATTTTCTTCCATTTTTCCCTGGAGCGTAACTGGGGTTTTCCGACGTTTTTCCGAACTCTGTGGGGTTGAGAGAAAAAGTGCGATCCATGACACCCCTAATTTTCGGTTTCGCATCTGAAATGATTGTTCCGTCTTTCTTTCACAGCAACTCAGCGTTCAAGGGACCAGTTAGGAATCGATTGAGTCACCGCCTAGTATATTTATTTGACAGGGTGAGCTGCTGAAATCTGTCATAGGATGAAATCTGTCCGCTCTACGCAGGTGATCGGACCTCGTCTCTGCAGCCGAGGGCTTTGCCGTGTTCCCGGTAGAGCGCCAAGAGTAGTTGCCCTTGGAACGACTCGACTTCCGTAGCCGCGGCTTCGCTCCTAGCATCAAATATGGATATTGTTCCTTGCCGGGCTAATGATCCCTCCGTGATCGCTCCAGGAGTCTCTCGTATCCCTCCCAGAATCGTATTCCTGCGCCAGCGAGACGCGAGAGATCGAACCCGTTGTTTCAGCTCCAAAATCGATTGAACCCTCGCAGAGGAACATCGTGAAAAAACCACTCCCCTCCGGTAGCTTATCATCTCAGTCAGCTTCTCAACCTCGTTTCGGGGGAAGGCTTCGAAAGTGGATTCACTATTCACCACTGATAGCTGAACAACCTTTAGGCGACAGCATCGTCGTAATCGAAACAGTCGAACTGATATTCTTGGCACGTTCCGATCGCGCACGTTCCCCGCGAACCAATCCGACGTAGTGAGAGGAGCGGAAAGACCTTCAGTGCATCGATCGATTCTCAGGGAATCGGGAATTCTCCGTATCGCCTCTCAATCCGACAGCTAATCGGCGGGAATAGACCGGTCGACTTGGAGAGGTTCGTCGGCGACCCTCTGAAGAATTCACGCTCGATTTCGAGTTTCAGGGCAGAACGTACACAGCGTCCCCGATAGAGCCCTCCCCCCTCCTAGGCCCAGCTCGATGCTCTTCGGCTTCCTCGGAAGTGATGTGAGCCCGAGCGTTGAGTATGTCCCCGAATTCCCGCCACGCCAACCTCACCAAACACTCGTCGGGCGGAGTTGGCCCAAGGGTGGGACTTGCAGTGTCTTCATTCCTTGGCCAGTTGTTATTTGATTTGCCAACATATACAGTCCTCTCAGCTGACCGAATTGGACAAACAATGAACGGAGCAGCAATATCTGGGAGCAAATCTACGTCCTTCACACTTACCATCGCCGCGGACGGAGCTGTGCTATTGATGACCTTGATGCGATGGCGACGTATTCAAGGATGAGTGCGAGTCGGAAGAAGAATCTGGAGCGGTTTCCACTGGGAAAAAGGACGGGGATCCCACGGCTCCCGAGAGCGTAACTTTATCAGTTTGGCTGAAGTAGGTTACTACTTGCCGTCCTGGGATAACTCTGAGCGACGCGCAGTCTTCAATCGCGTCACAATTACAAGAACTCTGTAGCGATCGCTGAGACCTCTGCTCGGCAATTCCTCGGGGGTACGCTGGAACAATTGCAAGTTATCGACGTCACGATTTCTGCTTCTTGTACCGACCTCTGCGAAGTGATTGCAGTTCCATTGGTACCGAGGTGAATCTGAATGATCCGACTGGGATGCGCCGCCAGAGGAAACTCGCAGAATTAATCCTCCAGGAAATTATGACCACCCAATCATTATCCGGGAGCATGTTCCTCTTCTGCCTTCTCCGCGCCGAATTGAGACGCTCTCTGGCAGGGGGCCCTGCAGTAGTGAAGTCCACAGATCTTCCACCGGTACACTGCGTGAGGAGGGCCTCCCGACATGATCGACGGCAAGCGATCGAGTTGAGATGCTCTGTCCTTAGCAACGGGAATGACCAGAGAATGAACGGCGGATCAACTCAGATAGGCCAAAAACACCGCCGATTCTTACGTACTCCGGAGTCCTCTCTGTAAAGTTTGCCTGAGAGGGATGCCGATTCTGCGATTCTGGATAGCCTCAGACACTTCTGTCGAAAAGCTTTCTGAGAAGGCACCGCAGCGCCCTGAGAGAGATCGAGAACGAGCAGAGCGCTTTATGACTCCCATATCCGTCAATTTTCGCGATGTCCGCCACCTCTCTTGTTCATAATTCAACCGTGTGGCTCTCAGCGCCGATGCCAAGACGTCACTTACCTCGAAACGTTTGCAGCGGCTAAAGAAATTCTCTCCCTGCCTCGTTTCACTTCATTGACAGGTCGTCTCGCACACAGAATCCATAGGTTTATCGAGGATTTTTTCTCCGGGAGACGCATTGTGCATTCACGTTCACTATGAGACTGGGAGCCGCCCCCGTCTCTGAAGATCAGTCGTTCATCGACGAGAGGCGGGGCAGATTCAGAGTGCAAGGTCCGAGTTCCAAGTCGATCTACTGTTTCCGAATCTCGACCCCGAAAAAGCCTCAGCTTGGTTGGTCATGTTTGAGGACAGGGAATCGACATCAAATCGGAAAATTGGAAACAGAGGCTGAGAAACTGGGGAACGCGGGCGGATCTGCGTCCTCGGCGCCACTGATGTGATGAACTCAAATTTTTCAAAAGTTTCGGAATCGGCTGTCGCGTTCCCTTCTTATCGGAGTGCTTCCGCAGAGCGCTGACGCCGCCCAAGGCTGTTCCCGATTTCGCAGGCGTTCTTTCTTTCCCATTCTCCGCTTGTCTGCGGGTTTTTGGAAGCGAGAAAAGCGTCATCCTACATATCACCATCTGCCCTTGCGCAACAGAAGAAGCGCAATGAAATCGACTCAGAGCTCATCACTTCAAAGACATTATCGGGCATTATAAGTCGGAGACGGCTGTTTCGATATTCTCCATGATTTCGCGTACGATTATTATCCGACCGGTGATCAATAAGGTTCGTACTCCCCTATGTCAACCCTATTCAGGAGGAACGCCTCTGGTATCGACCTCAGCAAAAAGGCATGGCAGACGGCTCGAGACGGACAGACC